TGGACAGAAATTCTCACAGACAAATAAGCATTAAAACACAATATTACTGTTACTATTATAATAACTTTTAGCCCCCCCCCCCCTTCCCCAACCCCATTAACATCTCATTGTCTCATTAACCCATTGAGTGGCAGCACTCTCCACTTGAGGAGTAAAATCGTCTGCCATTGGCCAGAGTAAAATACTAAAGTAGGGTGCATCAAGGCGCATTGCCACTTATGAGGCCGTCTCTCTAAGAACCGACCAATGACTCTCGGCTCATAAAATGAAATTCTTCGTTACTTTCACAATGAAATGTATTTACCCCAAGAACAAACAAAAACTATTTGGAATTTGAAATTTTATTAATTTTTAAAATTTCAGCGACTTTTCGGTCCCGCGCCGTCGGGCAGAAAATCCTCTGCCTAAATCAGGAGTAAAAATTAGCCGAATTCAAATACATATAATTTTAAAAGTTTTCAACCAAATGTTATGATTTTTTCACCCACCAACGTGAAAGTTACTCTACTTTGAAACTTGTCTTGTTTTATGATACTTTTACAGAACAATTATGGCAAACTTTAGCGATAACAAGCACCGGGTGTAAATACGGCTTTGTACGCATATCAAATTCGACTTTAAATTTCTAAAAAGTGGCACCTAACTGGATTCAGTGACTAATATGGTTAAAAAAAGGGAAGTTTGAAGTACTCATATCCATAATAAAACTTGTTACCAACCGCGATTTGAAGACTCGACAGCCTCTGAAATTTGATACAATTTGGCTATTTTGTTTAGCTTCAATTATAGCGGAGTTGAGACGTCAGAGCTTCCAGTCACTTGTAAAATGCGCTGTTGTTCCGTTTTTTACACAAGCCTTTAAATCATCGTAGTTAAGCGATTTTTCTGTGTTCATGAACATCACAAGTGGATTTAATTCGGAAAGATTTCGATCGATACAGCGAGGTAAACGTGGTACGCTTTCGTATTAAAATTAGCTACTCGGGGAAAACCCGGAAATTATTGTCAAATTGTCAATGCTGATATTTATTAATCTAAACTCTGTATGTCTATTCTGCACGATCGGAAATGAATTTAAACTGGAAAAAAGACTTGATCTAGAAGATTACTATAGATACTGATTATTCAAAAGATCCAGTTGCAATCGTGCATGCCAATTGAATTGGATTTGGATTATAGTTCGAATAAGGGTTTTGATTAGTGTTTCAACCAGGGCTTGGCTGAAATTTAATAGAAGGGTCATATATGGAATAGTCTCCAAATGACCCCCACCCCAACTCTATCCTGACACCTACCCTACACCCACCCCACCTCTATTGTGATGTCATTTGAGGACCTTTATATCAACTTCACCTGGAATTGTTTAAGGAGAGCTAATAAAGGGTGAAGTTTATTTTCATACAAGCGTTTTCAAATGACGTCACAAAAACGCGAGGTTGGGGTAGGGTCGTACTGGGGGTGTGGGTAGGCCAGGGCATGTGGGGACTCTTATATGAAACGTCGGCCAGAATAATGGTAGAAACTGTTCACCATGTATTCAAAAAGGGGAATGTTAATTAATGCATAAATTACCCCAATAAAGTATAGCATCATGTGAAGATATAGTGGGGAATCGAAATTGTCAAATATATACTAATGGAATTGCTGTGCATTACACGGAAGAGAAGCTATAGAAACAAGACAATACGCCATGGTTCTGGTTTTCTGCTAATAAATAGCAGTAATTGTTGCACGATTAGACTGTTTATGACGGGAGTGCCAAAATTAGCAATGACTCTATTTTACCTCTCTTACCTCGCTGTAACATTTACCTCGCTGCATCGAGCCAAATCTTTTTGAATTAAAACAACTTCTGATGTTCATGAACACGGAAAAATCGCTTAACGGCTTGTGTGAGAAAAAAAAACCGGAACGACGGCGCATTTTACAAATGACTGGAAGCTCTGGCGTCTCAACTCCACGATAATTGAAGGTAACAAATTTCAGAGGCTCTGGGAGTCTTCAAATTGCGGTTGGTAACAAGTTTTATTGTGGATATTGGTACTTCAAACTTCCCTTTTTTCAACCATATTAGTCACTGAATCCAGTTAGGAGCCACTTTTGAGAAATTTAAAGTCGAATTTGATATGTGTACAAAGCCATATTTGGACTTGGTGCTTGTTATCGCTAAAGTTTGCCATAATAGTTTTTGTAAAAGCATCATAAAACCAGGTAAGTTTCAAAGTAGAATAACTTTCACGTGCGTGGGCGAAAAAATCATAAAAGACATTGTGAAAGTAACGAAGACTTTCATTTTTTGAGCCGAGAGCCATTGGTCGGTTCTTAGAGAGATAACCTCTTAAATTCATTCCCAATCGTGCCGAATAGACATACAGAGTTTAGATTAATAAATATCAGCATTGTCAATTTGACAATAATTTCCGGGTTTTCCCCGAGTAGCTAATTTTAATACGAAAGCGTACCACGTTTGATAATACCTCGCTGCATCGATCGAAATCTTTTTGAATTAAACCCATTGGGATGTTCATGAACACAGAAAAATCGCTTAACTACGATGATTTAAAGGCTTGTGTAAAGAAACGGAACAAGAGCGCATTTTACAAGTGACTGGAAGCTCTGACGTCTCAACTCCGCTATAATTGAAGCTAAACAAAATAGCCAAATTGTATCAAATTTCAGAGGCTGTCGAGTCTTCAAATCGCGGTCAGTTACAAGTTTTATTGTGGATATGGGTACTTCAAACTTCCATTTTTTTTAACCATATTAGTCACTGAATCCAGTTAGGTGCCACTTTTGAGAAATTTAAAGTCGAATTTGATATGCGTACAAAGCCGTATTTACACCTGTTGCTTGTTATCGCCAAAGTTTGCCATAATCTTTCTGTAAAAGTATCACAAAACAAGGCAAGTTTCAAAGTAGAATAATTTTCACGTTGGTGGGTCAAAAATCATAAAATTTGGTTGAATACTTTTAAAATTATATGTATTTGAATTCGGCTAATTTTTATTCCTGATTTAGGCAGAGGATTTTCTGCCCGACAGCGCGGGCCGAAAAGTCGCTGAAATTTTAAAAATTAATAAAATTTCAAAATTCCAAATAGTGTTTGTTTGTTCTTGGGGTAAATACATTTCATTGTGAAAGTAACGAAGAATTTCATTTTATGAGCCGAGAGTCATTGGTTGGTTCTTAATAGAGAGACAGCCTCTTAAGTGTAAAATTCAGGTTGAAAATTTTGCTTCAAAACTTAGTGGTAAAATTTAGAGGTAAAATTTTGGTTGAAGATTCGGGGGTAAAATTCAGGTTTAATATTTTGGTTGAATATTTGGGTGTAAAATTCATGTTGAATATTTTGGTTGTAAATATAAGTGCAGAATTCAGCTGTAAAATTTTGGGTGAAAATTTGGGTGTAAAATTCAGGTTTAAAATTTTGGCTGAAAATTTGGGTTTAAATTCATCTTGAAAATTTCGGTTGTAAATTTTGTAAAATTCAGGTGTAAAATTTTGGTTGAAGATTTCGGTGTAGAATTCAGGTGTAATATTTTGGATGAATATATTTGGGTGTAAAATTTCGGTTGAAAATTTTGGTTGTATAGTTAGGTGTAAAATACGGATGTAAAATTTTGGTTGAATATTTCCCTATAAAATTCAGGTGTAAAATTTTGGATGAAAATTTACGTGTAAAATTCAGGTGTAAAATTTTGGGTCAAAATTTAGGTGTAAAATTCAGTTGTAAAATTTTGATTGAAGATTTGGGTGTGAAATTCAGGTGTAAAAGTTCGTTGAAAATTTGGGTGCAAAATTCATGTTTTAAATTTATGTTGAAGATTTGGGTGTAAAATTCCGCTTGAAAATTTCGGTTGTACATTTAGGTGTAAAATTCAGGCGTAAAATTTTGGGTGAAAATTTGGGTGTAAAGTTCAGGTTTAAAATTTTGGATGAAGACTTGGGTGGAAATTTCAGGTTTAAAGTTTTGGTTGAAGATTTGGGTGTGAATTCCAGGTTGAAAATTTTGGTAAAAAATTTAGTTGTAGAATTCTGGGGTAAGATTTTGGTTGAAGATTTGGGTGTAAAATTCGGGTTTAAAATTTTGGATGAAAATGTACGTGTAAAATTGAGATGTAAAATTTTGGGTGAAAATATATGTGTAAACACCTCGGATTTTTGAAAAAATTTTCTTTTTTTTTTTCCAACCTCGGAATTTTGAAAAAATTTTAATTTTTTTTTTCCAACCTCGGAATTTTGAAAAAAATTTCATTTTTTCTTTTCCAACATGTTATTACTCAAATTACTGTATCTTGAAAATAGCAACCCCCTGCACCCCTCTGGCCAGGATTAGAGTGGTGCACCCCCCCCCCCTAGTAAATCCATCCCTGAAATTATGAATGTATTTTGCCTCATTATAAACACCTCAAAATTCAACCACATGGAATAGCATGCTAGACATATTTGCACATAAGATAGAAATTCTATAATGTCTCGATTGCAGCAAGTGATCATCAGTATTCATGTGTAATTTCTGATAATAATAACATCATATTAACTTATGCGAATCATTTTACCAATGTCAAAACGTAAATAAATTATTGAATAGAAAGTAAGAAACTATTCCTAGCTATTCCTGGTTGTTCTTTGGATAGCGTACCTTCTGAAAATATTTCCCAACTTTCTTGAGAGAACGCTGAACGCTTTATCACCACGCATTTTCGACTGAACCTCAACTCCATCAAGACTTCTACTGATTTTGTTCCCGTTTGCATATTTATTGAAAAATTGTTTTTTGTCCTTCGCAATGCCAATTTCTAATGCATGAATTTCTTGTCTTACATGTCCTTCTGATGGTGGAGCCATCCCGTTGTCACTGATTAAAGCAAATAGCCATTTTAGAGCTACAGCTTCGCCTTTTACTTTTGGCTCACTGTCGTTTTGCTTAAATATGATGTTTGGATTAACGCACGTCAGCATCTAAAAAGTAGATGTTATAGAGGAGTAATGTCTTATAATGCTTTTGAAGGTAAATAGAACTACGCATACACTACAGGGAACAAATTTGAATGTAATTTTATTGGTCTGAAAATGTTCAGTTTTGGTTTATGTCAGTTTAAGGTGACGCTACACCAGGCAATTTGTACCAACAATTTCCAATGCAAATCGTTGTATACCAAGAGGTGCCCACGAAAAGCTGAGCTTTGCATAACACGTACCTGTGCCTTTGAGAACTCGTACTCTGTTATGCATTTCATGATTACATTTACGATAATGGGTTCCCCTGTATCATCTGTACAGTACGATGGAATGTTATCTCTCGTTTCCTGGAATTTGAGAACGCTATGTGGGACGATAGTGTCTTTGAAAAAGGAATACGCTTTTTCTGGGCCTAGCATATCAATATCTGCCATCTCAAATACCTATTTATTAAAAAAAAATTTGATAAACTCAGTTGAAAGTGTTACGTCAGCCGCATTGTTTTAGAAACAACGCATTGACATTGTAAATGTAATGGTGAACGCTGTGTGTTTGCATGCGCATGTGCTGATGTGCCCATGCACAGGTTTTTGGTTGGCATAGTTGGAAAAAATATGTTTAATATATATGTTTTTATAATATAGTCATTCACCGTATATGAGCTGTTCTGCATTCTGATTGGTTGAATTACTCGCCGTATATCAGCTCATATATCAGGGTTGCCAACTTGGCTCTTTTTAAGCCAGATTTCACGATTTTGGCTTCTTTTTCTTGCGCTTGGCTTAGGAAAATATTGTTTGGCTTATCTTTATTATCTGGCTTATTTTGGCTTCTTTTTATAAAATGGAGTTAAAATCATATATTCATATTTATTTAATCAAATATAGCTTCATTTTTCTTAATTATCAAAAATTTCAAAGCTTAATATTTAATAGGATCACTTCCAACCAATGACAGCAAAGTTCTCACTTCGTTGCTATTTGCTACTGTCTTCGCAGACGTCCGACAACCATGAAAAATTTTTGATCCTTCTAAAAACTAATTTTAAGTTCGTAAACAACTAATTCGTAAACAACTAAAATAATCAAGGTGATTTATTTTAACGTCTTTGAAAATGATTTTGAGCAAGCCGTCGGCGCGGCGGCGACTAATCGAGGAAATCGGTGGAAGAGTCATTATGATTCATCGCGTAAGTTCAAGTCGGATTGGACAAGAAAGTACCCCTGGATTAAAAAAGCAATGGATGGATCAGACGATGCGCATTGCTCGCTATGCCGAACAAATATCACCCCAAGGTTGTCAAACATCAGCAAAAATCTGTATTTTAGAGAAATGTGCTGCAAGGACTTGAAGCCATCTAAACGAATGCTGGAACTTTTTACAAAAGATATTTACAAGAAAGCAACTGATTCTTTGAATGACGAAGACGAAGTTGAGTTACTTGAGTAACAAGTCAACAACAATAAATGTAAACTGTAAACTTTCTGCACTACATATAAACTGAGGCCTTATCATATGTTACATAAAGTCATAAACTAGTAAATTTGTAGTTTCATAAATTAAATAGCAAAACATTTCGAGTGTAAATTGTAAATTTGTAGTCTACTACTCTTTGTGTGATTGTGTCAGCCAAAACGGTGTAAATAGACGACTTCCCCAATCCCCTCGCCATAATTTAGAGTTTGGCTCTTTTTGGCTTATTTTGATATTCAGTTTGGCTTTTTCTGTCCCAGAAAACCTGGCAACCCTGTCATATATGGCGAGTAGCGAAAAACAAGATGGCGGTCCAAAAACTACATGAGTTTTGCGAAGCAGAAAAAAGGAAAATATTCGCTTTGAGAAAGATAATAGTACAAGGAAACACTCTCCACAAAATTTTACAGGTTAACAAAATACATTTATTACATAGAAATTAGTTTAAATACAAGCTTTTTAAATAATTAATACCGAAACAACAGCGAAAAAAACATGATTGTTCATTGAGAATATAAATTGTTCAGAAAAGTTTGCAACGAAAGACAAATGAATTTACAGTCAACAAGCACTTACTATACTACCAAACATCTGTATAATATATCTGAGCTTTTCTGTGAGATATACAAGTTCTAAAACCATTTGTTTCACTTCGTCTTCGAGTTGTAAAACAAAAGTATTTCAAATTTTCAAGGCCAAGCGGTTTTTGGCTGAACAAATTGTCAAGACATTGTAACAGAGGATAGTTAATTATTGCTTCAGTTAATGGCTATTAGGCTATATTATAAAACAATTATACCATTCGCTCTCGTCGTATATGGCTGATAGCCAACTCGGTGCTACGCACCTTGTTGGCTTTCAGCTCATATACGACTCGAGCTCGTGGTATAATTGTTAAATATATGGATACTTACCATTTCGGCGAAACTTATCAAGAGCGAATAATTTTTTCTGCATCTGTCATCCATGTTTGGAATGTCCCTTGCAATAACAAGCTGCAGTTCTTTTGAGCGGGTGTGACAAAGTTGTTCCACAGACATGGTTAGCCCCACCATCATCCCTAGTGCACCAGACGCTCTTTTCAAATTATTATCCACTTTGTTTTTGGCCACTTGGGCTTCGATTCCACCTGGACTTCTTGGACATTCCACAAAAGGAATAAGTACCAGATGTCCAAACACTCTACACATATAATGAAATTTAAAAATGTGAAACTATTTCGCTAAATTTTGTTTTTGTTTTTCGTTGGGTTTTTGATTGTTGTGTTTCTCCCATGAATGAACTTAAAATTTACAAATGTCATGGGAATTAAGTGGTTGCACGATAAGTGGTTGCTCTATCATCCAATCCAGGTGCTCATGTGGAAAGCGCTCGACATATTTAGTTCTGTTACATATGGTTATATCGTAGGGATTAATTTTAGCAAGGAAGAAAAAATGGAATACCCGAAGTCGTAGATAAACCCTTAAAGCACAGGGGAGAACTGTAACCAAGTCAAGCACAATCGGATGATCAAGTGATTACTTACGTGTACTCAACCTGTTGTATGGTAGGCTTAATGTAACTCAGAACTGACTTGTCAGTTTATTCGCTAAATAAAGTGACATGCATATAGTTATGATCCTAGTTTACTATCTAGCTTGTTTTTAACGGTTTTGAAACTTTTGTAAATTTATCCTTGATAACTTTTAAGCACATTTGTAATTCTCCAACTAGCGTGAATAATGTTATCAATCAACACACATTATGTTAACGCAAAAACGTTAACACTTCATGAAAAACTCAATTTTGTTCAATAAAGCAAACATTTTCGGGGTCCATGCATCCTGACAAAGTTTGGTTAGCTAACTGTAACAAATATTCTGCTTCCTATATTATGAATATCTGTACCTTTGATCTTTGTTTAGTCCTTCCAGTGTTGGCCAGTTTACTGTCAGCATTGGACAGGTCTGTGGTTCCGTTTCTAAAAGGCAAGACCCATCTTTTCCCTTCTTAAAAAACTTCTTCGACTAACTTTAGGCTTTTTACGTCATCCAACACAGGCGGCAAGGTTGATCGGCTGCAAAGTTGTGGAATGAACCTTTCCTTCACAGCCGAGTAGAAATTGGCGGTGTTTCCAACTAAGGCCAGAGCTGCTTATGATGACTTTGTTTTTCCTAGTCTATTTGCACCACACATGATCCAGGACAGAAACCAAGATGTTCAATTATCATCTCATAGTTGATACCAAGCAGCATTCCAGCTATAAATAGCAAATATATTATGGAAGATATGTTAATTAATCTATGTGTTGGCAAACCCTCATTATATAAAGACTACACAACAGGAAAAAATGTACAACTTTTATTGTAATTATCCATTCCATTACCGGCCCAATCACTACTATTTAACAATTATTCGCTGAAGGTGAAGTGATTACCGGTTAATATTCACCGAGACAAATTACCGGTTAATATTCACCGAGACAAAGTCGAGGTGAATATTCATCGTAATCACTGAGCCTGAGGCGAATAATTGTTTTAGTATAAATTTTTAATAAATAAAACCGAAAATATCCAAATATCAGTTTAATTAAAATTGATAAATAAAACTGTTTTCGACCAGTTTTATGGTTACTGTTTTAGTGTTGTTGCAGTGTTTCTTGTACACGCACGCTTTCAAAATGGCTTCTTTGTGATTTTTCTGCCTGTTTACAAAGTGTTTTTTTTTCTCAATTTCTGCTTAGAATATAAACAAAATGATGGAATGACTTTTTCACCAGACTTAGAATTAAAAATAGTTTCTGTTTAGCATTAATTTGTTAAAGAAATGGCTGAGAAAATTGGTAAAGTGGAATGTAAAACTATTGCTCGAATGCCTCGAAATAAAGTTTTAATACACTTTTCACTTTACAAGTTTCGAAAACACATTACAACGGCAGGACACTATACAGCACAATGAAAACATGACATATCAAAAGAAATAGTATCGCACAAATTGAGATATCTATATGATACAAAACAAATAGTAGGATAGTTTTTGCTATATTTGTTGAATTAAATTGAACGTTTCGGAGATTTAGATAAGTTTTAAATTTTTCGTGAATATGTTTGACATAGTACTAAAAATAAACCTACCTTTCAAGTTAAATACAACATTTTGTGCTTCTTAGTTCGTTTTCTGGGTCGATTTTCCAATATGTTGTCGATTTTGAAACCAAAATTGCCGAATCATTCTTTTTGAAAAGCATTATTTACTAGTCGGCTAGTAAACAATGCGTCAGATTTACTAGTCAACTAGTTAATCAGAACGCGCGAAAGCTCATTTGATATGCAACATTTATACTAATCTTGTATATTTGTTACAACCGCTGATACTTTTACATACGCATGCGCGGCATTCTGGCAAGTCATTGCATGCTTTCCAATAAAAAGATGTGAAAAAAGGTTGAAAAAAGTGGGTGTTTTTCAAACAAAAATTATACAATTAGTCCTTCGGATCTTAATCAAACGTACACTTGAATTTATTTCTTGATGATTTACAAATGAAGTTTAAATAGAAGCTAATAAATAATGAAATTATTAATTACTAATTTATATACCAATTGCGAATACACCAGCAGGCCCGTTGTCATGTAAAGTAGAAAAAAGAGATTTCACAACATCACCCAATGACAAGGAACTTAAAGGCAATTCGATGGAAGGTAACGCATTGACAGACCGTTGACCTTGCTCGATAATTGCTTTCACCCATGTTATGAAGGTTTGCTCTTCCGTCACCACTTCTCCGTCATCATTTAATTGAAAGTTAGGCCCGAATACCCATATGTTTCTTTCCGGCTGGTGGCCTATGCAGCATCATAGGTGTCTCTAACACCATTTAGGCGGCACTTTCTATGAAATATATATAGTATACTGTTATGCATTTTATAAACAGTTGAATAAATGGCAGTTAGCGTTATCCAAATCTGAATCGCGGCAAACAATAGTATAAGGTTGACCGACATATATAAATGCTCAGAATTAACCCGCATGATTCAATACAAATCAAATTATTATAATAACGACCATTGACGAGTTTGAACAAATTTATTCAAATTGACGTTTATATTGTGGATATGTTAGTTTCATACAAAAATGTTAATTATTTATTGAAAATACAGGGGCCAGTTGTATAAAAATATTGTTAAAGTTAACTATAATTAGTGCGAAAATAAACGAATAACAATCGGAGATTTTGGAGTTAACTACAATTTAACTGCGAAATTGTATTTAAAAAGTAGTTAAGAGTTTTATACAACCGGCCCCAGACCATGGTTAGGTAAAAAAGTATATTAGTTTACTAAATGCATTTAAAGTAGCGTGTTTGTAAGTGGATACATACTGTAAAAATAAAAACAATAAGGATATATGAAGGCTCATTCATCACAACTTTAATAGCTGCTGCATGAATTAAGAGAGCTTTTGGTCAGATTATTTGATCTTTATATATATTTTTTAAAATTTTAATTAATGATTATAGTTTAATTAATGATTAGAGTCTTTCCCGTACAGTTTTTTCGCTTCAAAAATTATTCTCAACATTCGAGCGCGTTCACGCTGTTGCCAACGCCCGCTGATATTTATTGACATTAATTTCCGGTCTAAAGAGTTTGGGTCGAGAGTATCAGGGGCGGATCTGACGGTAGTCAGATTAGTCACATGACTAACGTAAAAAAAAGGCATATAAAAAAATTTGGACTAAGGTTTTTGAATTTTTTCCCAGTGCAAACACTTCTCTTCATTTCTGATCACGCAATCAAAACTCTATCACACTCCAGCATATAAACTTCGATCAGTTTTTGCACATTGAGCTAGCGATTGATTAGTCAAATGATAAGTCAAATAAAGCGGTATTCAAATGAAAATTGACTATTCTGCATTTTAGTTCATGTGATTTGATTGGTCAAATTTGCTCAGATTACACATTACAGGCATGTTGATTGGTCAGACCTATTTTGACTAATGATTGCAAAATTTTGACTATTTTGACTAATTCTGCAAATAGATAGCAGCTCCTCATTGGACAATTTGTGCAAAAGAGTTAAAGAACACCTCCTCTGATTGGCCTTCTAATCTTCAATTTGGATTTTGGAAGCATTGTGCATTTGGTAGCTTTGTTGCAGTTCTGTACAATTTTACAAGCAAATTATTCGTTTGTATTTATTTAGTATTATCGAAATGAACGACGTAGATTTCGAGATGTGTTTATTTCTCGAATTCTCGTCGTCTATTTCAGGAGATTATAAAGAGGTGTATGGCAATAAGGTAAAGTGGTTTGAATTTTGAACAATAAATCATTGAATTGAACGTACGATTTGCATAATTGTGCGAGGTTAGGTCCAAAGTTTTATATACTGCATACATATTCATTATGTGTATAAAATTAAAACACCTCAAGTGGCAGAAATTTGATGTCAAATATTTGATCATGTTGGATAAAAAATATTTATTGTGTACATGCTTTATAGAGTATTGATTGACTGATAATAGCTCTGCAAATGTACTTTATAAAGATAATAATAATATAATCTTTGGTTATATTTTTAGATCTGATGCAACTGGCATTTGCTTGTATAGCTCTGTTTCCTAAGCATTGACAGGTACCAATGACCTAATTTGACCTTGATAGTTTAAATGTTTACAGTGCAAGTGTGAAAGGTCTATTTCGGCACTTATAGAACACTAAAAGGCTATAAGCGAAGCACTACGGTTGAAGACTACTTAAATTAAATTACTTGGCTTGGTCATGATGCAAATTCACCAGGAAATTATTCCTATTAAAACATATGTACTGTAGGAAACGTTATTGATAAATTTTCTGGAACATGTGGTTAAAGTTAAATATCTCGGCTTGCAAAAAGACCACTCTCGCCTCATGAGAAAAAACTTCCTGGGGTTTGGTTCTTCATCATCAACCAAACTTAGCCTTTCAAGATCGCCACCTTCTCATAATATCCCCCCCCCCCAAACATTTGGGCTTTGTAGACAAAAGCTGATGCCAAATATCGGGTCTGATTTCATTGGCTTGAGACAGGTCCATTGCATCTTGAACCAGTTAAATTTTTCAACAGACCAGGGCTTGAAATAACAACTGATCACCAATCAATAATAGGCAAGAAATTGCTTATGATCGGCGGAAAAGCAGGGTTTCCAACCTGAAAAAGCAGGGAAAGTCATGACTGCCGATCACTATGATCGGGAACTTTGGGAACATTATTTCAGGCCCTGACAGACAAACTCCATGTTAAAAACATATGTACTGTAAAACAAGAAGAACATACATACTGTAAACATATGTACTTTTTTTGTTTCCACAAACAAAAACAATTATATTTTATCACCATGCAAACATTCAAAGAACTTAAACTCCATGTTGATAGTATGTGACTGTCTATATACAGTATGTATAAGCATAGTATAGGAATAATAGAATACTGTGTTAAAAACCTTGCCAATTTAATATTTCAGATAACTAGATAAGTAAAGTAATAGTCATTTGTAATGAAATATTTTGTATTTGAATCGACTGTGATTAAAATATGTTTAAAATGCCAGGTAAAATAAACTTGTTTTCAATAAAAGTTGGCTTCCACTGAAGCTGCAGCTTTGAGGCACCATTTCACTTGCGATATTATACATTTTCAAAGTGGACAGTATATAACAAGATGATGAATTTAATTACATTAGACATATAGGTTAGTAATAGGAGGACTGGGGAAGGGGCTAAAGGGAAAAACAAGGCAATTTCACATCCATGAAATGTCCTGTATTGTCATCCATTTTTAACCAAGCTCCTTTTGCTGCGGTGAAAGGTGTGAGGTGTGTTTGTGGCACCTTAAAACCAGATTGCTCATTTTGGGTGGTGTTCATTGTTCAGTTTATTGTCACCCATTTCTAAGTTCTAGCCAAACTCCTTTTGCTCTTGCAAAAGGTGTGAAGGCAAGCAATCTGGTTTTAAGGAGCCAGAAACCTGTGCTTGCATGTGTTCAGCTTTTTCAAGGAGCATGTCCTTGTTGGATCACGGTTTACTATTTTTGGTAAACATGTTTCCTAGGCATACTGATGAGCCAAGGTATACACTGTAGGGCGAAACAGTCTATATATTAATATATCATATGCTGAACATTGGCAGGTACAAAAATTATCTCATTTACACATTTGTAGTTTGATAAAACAAAATATCTATACTTCCACAAAAATTGGACTATCATCCTGACATCAAATGATGTCATGTCAAATGACGTCATCACGTTTTGCGTCATCGATGACGTCATAAAATTTTGACTAATGTGCGGAAAGTCCTACATCCGCCCCTGGAGAGTATATATAGTCAAGTTCAAAGTAGCAAAGTTCAAAGAGAATGATATTCTTTATCGAAAACCCAAACATCTTGCCTGTGTCTATGCTCGCATGTAGTTTAATATGTACATGCCAAAATAAATATAATAAGTTGGAAATATTTATCCAATTCACTCTCCTCCACCCATGCATACGGCCCGTTTTCCACTAGGCGAATTTGTTCGCGCGAACCACTGATCTAATAGTAGATGCGAACAGATAAAAGGTAGGAACTGAACCAACTTTTTCACGGCGAAGTTTTTCGCTGACCAATCACGTTGGATTTCTGTTTTCGCTTCGCACGAATAAAGTCGCCTAGTGGAAAACAGAGAGCTCACTCATGCAGCCAAAAAAGCCGGCAACCACTTTTCGTCATTATTTCGCCCATAAAAACGAGTTTAGCAAGTGCGCGACAGAGAGACTTTTGCCCTCCTGAATTTACTTGTATTTTGTAACTTTCCAGGGGGGAGGGGGGGAGGAAGACATCTCAATCGCGCACTGGCTAAGATTTTGAAGTGGTTACACTTGAACATTAGCGTTTTACATGCAGTGAGCTCTCTGTCTGTACTCTGCATGCTAAAAGCTACACACGAAATTGCGAAAGAAAAAAAAATTAATTAGTTTTTACAGTGAAAATACAAAAAGTGTCCCACTTCCGCAGTTTGTTGTGATTTTATACTGTAATTTGTTCTGGTTTTCTTTTTTTTTTTTCTTTTTTTTTTCTTTTTTTTTTAACAGCTTTATTGGACATACAGATAAAAGGTTACATATTATTATACAAACAAAGACTACAGGGTATACGTCCAATGGGGCTAGCGCAAACGGGACAACGATACCCATGCAGGGCGCCACCCCTAAACTAAACTAGTGAAAACAAACTTATTTACTATACAGAATATATACATATATAACTTAGGACTTAAGTACGGTGACAAGGGCAGTCTCTTATGAGCGACCAAGTACATGTCATATCTACATTAAAAGTACTGTTCACCAAGGCGGTGTATGTCTTGTGCAAAAAGCTTTTAAAAATATTTACAGTGGCAAACTTTTCTGGAGAGGCTATTTTACATATATAGTTCCAAGGCTTTACTATTCTATTAAAAAACGATGCCTGAAAGGTGGATGTTTTACAGCAGGAGTGTTTTAACATTAGGGCTGGATTTTGTGCGCGAGATCGATTGTGCTCTACGAAGGTTAAAAGTTGATTAATGTTTAAATCGGTATGACCAGAAATACATTTATAAACCAACACAAGATCTCTGATTTCTCGATCATAAGTTAGTGGCAATAGGTTTAGAGATTTCAGCCTGTCTTCGTATGGCAGCTCACCAACTTTAGTTCTTAGAATCCATCGAGTTGCCCGTCTCTGTACTCGTTCTAGGAGAATCTGCAACTTTGCGTTTGAAGGTGACCAAACCTCAGTTGCGTAGCACAGCTGCGACTTTACCAAGGCTAGATAAAGTGTTCGTCTAACTTTGGTGTCTGTGATGAGAGGACATGTTCTCTTCAGGAGACCGAGCATCCTGTTAGCTTTGTTGACGATTGAGGAGATGTGAGTGTCCCAAGATAGCTTGCTATTGACGATAACTCCTAGGTCGTTTTCCTGTTGAACGCGTTGTAAAATGGCGTTGTCCAGGTGGTAGTCCGTAAGTACAGGCGATTTCTTCCGAGTGACCGTCAATACCTTACACTTGGAGGCATTAAACTTCATATTGGAGTTATGACTCCAAGTATTTAGGTTCGATATGTCACGTTGCAAGTTCTCACAGTCACTTTGGGACGAAATAGAGCGGTATAATTTTGTGTCATCTGCATAGAGAGCTGAACTCGTCTGTTCCTGGATAGAGTCAGGTAAGTCATTAATAAAGATGACAAACAGCAGAGGTCCAACAAGGCTTCCTTGTGGCACACCAGAGGTGACTGGTAGGTACTGAGAGGCAACACCGTCTATCACAACTCTCTGATATCTATGGTTGAGATAGTCCTTAAACCAGCTAAGGAGTTGACCCGTTACGCCATACCATTTAAGTTTCTGGATAAGAATGGCGTGGTCTACAGAATCAAACGCCTTAGCGAAATCAAAATAAAGCATATCAGTTTGAGTGTTCCGGTCGAGTGATTTACTAATAGAGTGGAGAACAGGAAGGAGTTGTGTCACACAAGAACGATTACGCATGAAACCGTGCTGAAGTTCTGTGATTAGACGTGACACGTGGGCATAGAACCTGTTGCAGACGCAGCGTTCCATCACTTTACTAACTATTGACAATAAAGAGATGGGTCTGTAGTTTCCAGCAGGTTCCTTCAGATCTTTCTTGTGCACAGGTGTTACGTCTGCATTCTTCCATTCAGCTGGAAAACGCCCAGTGCGCAGAGAGTGGTTGAACAAAGCACATAAACTTGGTGCGATTTCCTTGCTACATTGTTTTAGAATGTGTGCAGGAATCCCATCTGGACCGGAGGCTTTAGATGAATCTAAGCCAGCCAAGCAAAGTTCCACTTCTTCCACAGACAGCTGCACATCGGAGATTTCAACATCTGATCGATTGGGGTTAGAGGGCATCGTACTGGGCACGGTGTTGGGAGAAGTAAACACAGAGCAAAAGTACGTGTTAAAGAGCTCAGCTTTTTCTCCGGACGTCTTGACTGTTTGACCATTATGCGTAATGACAGAGTCGACTCCTGAGCGATGATGTAATACCGCTTTATGATAGCTCCAGAACAGTTTTGGATTTTCACAGAAAGAACCCACGATTTTGTTGAGGTAATCACGATGTTTATGTCTGACAAGGATTTTGATGTCATTACTTAGAGATCTAAGTTTACGTTTGCGTTGTTCAGTTCTATTTTCGCGGTATTTTTTGAGAGCTCGATATTTCTTGCGCAGGAGGTGCCTGATTTCTCCATCAATCCATGGAGGAGAGTTTGTGTCTTTTATAACTTTAACAGGCACACATTTTTCTACTGCAGCTAAAAATAATGCTTTCCACCGAAACCAGTAGAGATCAACATCATCAGAGACGGACATGTCTAATGCGTTAAGCTGCAGACGGTTACGAAGGGCCTCGAAATCTGCTCTCTTGTAGTTGTACGCTTTACGTTGCACACGCTTTGCTCGCTTGAACTTCAGCCGTATAAAGAAATCTACTAGGTAGTGATCAGAGGGGAAATTACTTTCCACTGGAGTA